TTGAAAAATAAAAAAGCCGGTCCCGAAGAGGCCAAAACAAATACTTAACTGCGCCGTGCGCTCATTGTTCGCGATGAGAGTCTGCGGCGACGGCAATGGCGGTGGAGGGCGATATCGGAGTAAAGGACATATGGTAAACGATATACACTTGCAGGGGACGCGACGAAAGCAAACAAATCGCGTGCATGCGTGCGCCCGTGGTCCTCGAGCGTGTAATCGAAATTAATCATTTCAGTGATGCAGCGACCGTATCTGTCCGAGTTCAACGTCCATTCAAAAGTTTCGCGCACGCGTACAATGTGAAATATTTAATTTTTGTTATTTTATTTATTCAATCGAATATTTAGGTTAGGTTAGATTACGTATAATTAACTGAACAGAGAAAAAATAAATCCATGATTATTATCAATGCAATTTCAAGTGCAACGAGAAATTCACTTCTTGTTACTGAATTTTAAATATGATCAAATTCTTATTCATCAAAACCGTTTTCAGAAATATCGTTGGTTGTACCATTGATTATAAATATTTATATTATAGTATTTATAATCAATGGTTGTACTTTGCCTTTTATTGAATAAGATTTAAACAATAACACGGGACTGATGCAAGGACACTTAGCCCTGTCCTGAGTACACCATTGTTAAGACTAACACATAGTCAATAATAAGTAGATTAAGAATTAGTCATACAAAACTAAAACATGGATATAGGTTAGAATAGTATAATAATCAATAATCCTAAGTATAACTGTTAAAGTACGCTCAGTAAATAATTATAATAATAATAATTTAATGTTAATTGATACATATAAAACTAAATGAATCAAATTTAAACAAATAGATAATGTAATAATAAATAATGTATAAATAAATAGGTAATAATCTAAGAAATTATAATAAATAGATTAACAAAAATATAAACAAAAAATCTCATTGAAAATATATAATTATTTTTTATTTTTAAAATTTATAATTTAATAATTTAATAATGCATCTATGCGATGCCCATCTAAACTCAAAAATATGTTTAATGTAACAATTCTTGATTTCAATCAAAAAATATCAGCATGTTTACATTTTATTGTTAACGATTGTATATAACATGTAACATACAGTCAAAACTATGCTATCACATTTTAATCATTAGCAGGGTCAGCGCTAGAAGTATTGACGTCTTGGGCAAAACCATTTTTTGGAGCCCTTAAAAACCCCCTTACAACCCACTTAGTTTGAATAGTAGTAAAATTAAGTTTTTTAGTGGGTTTAAATAAAATTAGTATGTATTTAGTATTTTACTAGCTTAGTATTATATTAATACTTTTTTGGATAGGTTTTTTTTTCGTTGCAAGAATATAATATGTCGTTCTAATTTTGAACTCGGCGTTTTTTTATTCTTTGAAAGTTTTTTTGGGGGATGTATTATTTCACGCCACCATTGCTTATAATATAGGAATACTATATTTCACTAACTACTTATTTATTAAGATAATCAGAAAACGGAATACTTTGTAAATAACTAATAAATAGGGCGCGTATAAAAAATGTATTAAAAATGTGAAAAATGACTTCCAAAAATGCACTAAAATTTTTTTATTTTATTTGAGTAATATTAATGAGTAGTTTTATTTGTATTGTTAAGGTCATCGATTATTCTACCATAATTTAATGACATAGCGATCACTTAAGACGATGAAATGTATTTGTCAATAATTTAATTAACCTTTGATCACGCGCGTGATTTTAAAAAACGTAACCATGCGTGTGGGGTAATTTTTTACTCCATATGAAAATCAATGAATATTTTAACACATTATGCAAAAATCATTTATTTTACAAAGAAACATTACCTGTGAACTTTTATATATTTTATTTAAATTAATATAATACACAAATTTTATTAAAAGAAGAATCAAATATACTTGAATTACTTGAAACAAAAACTATGTTTATCGAAATTTAACATTTAATTATTTTATTTTATTGTAAGTGATACCTTAAAAACTAATATTTTTTTATTACATATCTATAAAACAATCAGGACATATTTCTATTATATGATCGTCAGTATTATGATCAGACCAAGTATCATTTTCAACGACAAATTCGTCACCACTGGATTCACCACCTCAGACATCAGTAACTTCGTCAGTTTCTTCTAAATAACTCTAAATGTCTTTGCCTAAAAGTGTCCATGTCTAATGTAGTCACAAAATAACAAGCGTACTGTAATACAATGTCCAAACTCATAGGTATAAAACACATAACACCATTACGCGCGTGTGGTAAATAATTGCCGAATTCAGATTTCAACTGAAAAAATTAACAGTAAAAGAGACAAAAATGGTGGAAATACTTGATAATTATTAACGTACTATATTTAGAAAGGTATATGAAATTATTACTTGATATAATTTACGATAGTGACAATATAAAATAATAGATTTGTCTGGGGACATTATTTACTCCGAGGATTTAGAAAAAAAAAATGCATTTTGCATTGAAATCCGCGCATTACTAATAAGAAACCAAAATATTATGTACAAATGAACTAAACAAAGAATATGAATATTGATTGCCGGTTGACTGTAACTTGTTAATTTACACATTTGACGCTACGTACATTTCGTACGTAGCGAGAACTCGTCGAAAACAATAAATTTTGCGTAGGTGTCAGGCAACTGCATCTTTTTGATTTACACCACACACAGCGGTATTTTCGCCGTAAGGTCTGAACGGTTTTACCGCCGCGGTTTTTACCTAACCGTCTAATTATATGGATTTATTTATAATCGAGTAGGTAAATATTTTATGAAAATAATTAGTACGACCATCTGTATTATATTTTATTTACACACACAAATGCGGTGGTATGCAATATGTTTCTATGCATTATTTTTACATCAGAACCAGCGGTATCGATGTAGTAAAGAAGTAGAAGGTACAACTGTTATATTATTAATGCGTATTAAAAGATAAATTAGATAAAAATAATTTTCAGTCTGGCACCTTGGGCAATCGCCCAGGTCGCCCATAGTTTTCGCCGACCTAATCATTAGTGTGTATGTATACTATTTACTTAAAGCTAGGGTTGCCATAAATTTATAAGGCGAAACCGGGACAACACAAACACAATATTGTGTAATATACTTTTTATAAAACTTTTAATATATTGAGAGGACCTTTTTTTAAATGTTATAAAATAATGTTCTTAGTGTGAGGGATTTAAAAACGTAAAAAAAAAAAAAAATTATGAAAAAATAAAAATAACGATTTGTATGCAAATGATCCCCCTCATACAAAAGTTATGTATACGCCACTAAAGAGGACCGTTAATGGCCGTCAATATAATATTTAAAAAATAAATTTATAAAATGAAATATATTATATATTATAGATATGTGTAAATTATTATATATTTTTAATCGATTACGATTAAAAATGTATTTTGAGATAAAAAGGTCAAAATTAAAAATTAAACAATATTACTAATTTCCCTTAAACGTCTAAGCCGGAACATATGGACGTCCCGATAACATTTTTCGGGACACCGGGACGCAAAGTCCAAAACCGGTGACAATCACGGTTTTCCGGGACGTATGGCAACCCTACTTAAAGCTTATTCACGTGATTCAGCTTTTGTTAATTCACGTGTATTAACAATATGTGATTTACTTTGTTTTATTCAAGTGATCAATGAATGTTTTCGTTCGCGTTCTATAGAGTTCGCTCCTAGAGTGCTACGATCATAGAGCCTTTGGGCTACGGTTACTATGTATGCGAGGTATGACGAAAATGTATTCTGGCGAGTACGTACGAAATATTCGTCAGAATAGAACGGTTACACTTTGCGCGTTTTCTGATATTCTGATGGTCAGTACGTTTCTGTCATTCAACAAAGATAAGATCAATTTGATGAATTGTATTTTTTTGAAAGTCCGTTAATAAAGTTATTGTTATTAAATGGGGGAAAATCAAAGCATGTCAACGAGCGCCGGTTCTCATACACGAGACTGATTAATTTATCAGAATCCATGGTTCAAATAATTTGTATAATTGTACAATTGTATAATTTGATTAACCAAAACCAGTCTAAAATAATTAATCGAATCATGTCCAAGCAGACGTACGAAAAAATCAAACTTGTTTGAACGCTCAACTGATTCTGACGATATCGTGTATGTTTTGACGTTATCTTTGTTGCTAGTGTCAACACTCTCCGTGGAAAACAAGGAATTTTGTTGTTCAGACGAATTCGTCAGAACTCGTACAATTTTAACGAATAATAACTTGCACGGTGCGGCCGGATTTCTGGTGAATTTAAGAAAAATATGTTTTAATAGCATTCGTTCGCAATCGGACCATAGTCTAACCGCACCGTTAAAGTAACACCAACGTAAAAAAAAATTCGTAATATCAAACATTTTATTGAATTTCAGTAGAATCGTAAAATCGGAAAAAACCGGTGCGTTTGTAATTTATGGTGTTAATATTACATCTAAATCCAAACATTATTTTATCTCTCGGAATACAATCGGAGCAAAATATAATGAATAATGGTGTCTAACATCACAACATATAATTTATTTTTAACGTTTCAAAATAAATAAGACTTAAAATGGAAAATCTATACTTTATCATTTTGGGCACATGAAAAGTATTTGCTGAGAATTTATAGTTATCGTTTATAATATGTGCGTTTCGATTGTTATTTATACTGAACAATAAAAACCATATATATGTACGATTAGTTTTCTGATTTTAATTTCTGAGAAATACTAGATACCTACAAATAGATTTCGTTTTTCGAAGTATTTATAGTATCGTTGAACTGATTCGACCGCGCACGCACGGTGCAAATCATATTAAATATAATCATATTAAATCGCCGGTCTGTTCATAATCCAAGGGCTTACTTTTTTTTTCTTTACTTTAGACCGTTTTCCATTCTCCCGTTCACAGGTTCTCGAGCCGTATACAACGCATAACCAATGAGATAGGACGAAACATGTTGTGTTCGTGTCCCGGACGACCCGATAAGTAATACATGAAAAATGTTTCCTGATAACTTTCGTACGCATGTTCGTTCCTAAGGACCCCGCATACGATCAGATTAACTGTGCAGTTTATTTGTGTAAATAACCGACTATAAATTGTACAGTTATCTGAACTGAAAGTGTGTAGACTACTCGAAAATGTTTTCTCAGTTATATCCACAGTTCTCTCAGTTTTCCAGTCCAGTATAATACGGAAATCGTTCGGCTAGTGTACAGTTCGTGTTTCTATGATGGGTGACCGAAAATGAAAAGCGGCCGTGCGTTGTTTGGTAGCAGATTTTTTTTATGAAAGACGAGACAAGACTGTGTGAACCGTGTGACTGTCTGAGCTAACAGCACGATTTATCGTTACAAAGTAGAACTTATTACACGGGTCAAAAACCTGAGTGAAAATCTTTCAAAACAGCGCAGTTACCTCAGTTAACCGCTCAGACATGACGTCACGCATGATAAACTGCACGGTTAAACTGATCGTGTGTGGGGCCCGCCCTTAAGTCCGTACGGAGTGGAAACATCGAGTAGGAATCGCGCGGTTACGCGGCCGCGGTTCTCAAAATGACCCAGTCTTGTATATGATAACGGAGGTCCGCGCTGAATTCCCGCGACGCGCCGAGATTAAAATATTACGTGAAACCGTACGTCGCAATAAGGAGTGGCGGCGGCGACCAATGGGCGGAGGTTCGCGCAACCGTGACGGTATTTGTCCGAGACGGTAGACGGCGGCGAGTGTAATCATTTCCGCCGTAACACTCGTCGTCAACGCTCGCGTGTCCGTGACAAGTCTTCGAGAACATAGCCGAAACCATCGCAGCAGTCAAATTCGTTACGATTTATCGTATTATTGTAACGACCGTCACCGAACGAACAGGACAAAGATATGGTCGACCGAACGGGAGGTAAGTCGATAAATGTACAATATCCTTATTATTATAAAACCCCGTCGAAGCCGCTCCTCAATCATTTGCCATGGCCCACCCTACCTATAAACCTGGTCATATATAATAGGACTGACTGCATAGGTACACAGGGGTTGAACTAGGGGGAGGAAGACGGGGATTCATCCCCGGGCGTAAAATTGTAGAGGGTGTAATTGTTGTAATTATTAACAACTAATTTAATATTTTTAACTTTGTTAAATACTGATATTACGTTAAAACTCAATAAGTATAAAGTATTATTAGAAAAAAACTCGACAAGAGTATTTGATTATTGGTCTATTGTTATGAACCCCTTATTATGATTATTATATTATTATTATTATTATTAGTAGTAGTAGTATATCCTTAGTGTGTATGTGGGGACAAATGTTGACTATCCATTTTTTTCAACTTAATACGTACAGGCGTGACCACCCGTTATCGAGGAGTCAGTCGTGTAACAGCTAAGCAAGTGTATTAATTTCTTGTAAAAGTATTAATATTTTAAATAACGACTCAATAAAAATAGTATATTAGTGCATATAATAATTGTGTGAATCAATAACTTCCTCATCGACTTCGAAAGTGCGAACTTATTACGTTACTTATGATCGGCGGATTTAACCAATCGGTCGCAATATCCAAGCTTACGGACTTATCCGAGCTGCCCACAGCACTATGATAGGGCGTAAGAATTTTTCCACTTCTGTAGTTACATCATGTGCTATGTATAATATAATTAATTTATGTTCTACTTAAATCATATCAGCACTCTTAGGTATTCTTCTAAATTAATTACTATCTACTAGGTATTAATTGTACGTTTCATATTATTTTGTAGTTATGCTACATTCAAATAAGTAGAACATACAGCATCGAGTATATAGTATTGTGATAACAGATTTTGCTAAGCTCACGGTTTAAACACGGGAGACCAAAAATAGTAGAATATACAATAACAGTAACATTTAATTAAAATAATTAAATTCTGTGTACATTTCATTACACATTCTATTTACATTGTTTAGTTTTCCGTTGCTTTCTACAAACATGGCGGTATTTCTTTCTCTAGAAAAACACATACCATGAGAGAGAGTGAGAGAGAAGAGAGAGAATTCGAACCGACAATAGTGCGCGTCATCTTTTATTCCACTCGGTTTTTCCTGTTTCCTTAATGTTATTATAAATAAGAACTAATATCTAATATAAATTTAATAAAACTAAAATAGGTAAAAATCTTTTTATATTTTATTAGAGCTCTATTAGTAATGCTAAAAAAAAATTCAGTTTGGTAACGTACGTGGGTATGAATATAATAACAGAACATTTATTCTTGTAAATTCCAAGTCTCCGTGTATTAAGGGCGTCAATATATTGATAAAAATTGGTATAAAAATTACTTTTTCTATTTCTAATAAAACGAAGAACAAAAATACCCACTATCAATATATTAGAGAGAAAAGTTTGTCTACACCTGTACATTTTCGATATTTTCATTATAAAGTTCAGTAATTATTATTATATAAAGTTTTTATATTAAATAGATATTCTAAAGTTTTACGAGAAAATTTTTTTGTAATTATAGTCGATTATACTTTACTTTTGATTACATATCAGGGACGTACTCAGATTTTATGGGCCCTGGGAAAATTACATTTTTCGGGCCATTTTATTTTTTTAGTGTTAACGGCGCAATCAAACGTAAAATGTCTCTATCTTTATTACACGTAAAAACTAACAATTAAATGGTTTTGACATAAAACATCATTACAACTGAACTATTTTGATATGTTTTAATTTGTTCTTGTAATAACATTCATTTGAATGCATGTTTAAATTGTGTAGAGAAATTAAATACTCAAGATATAAATCATAAATTATAATGAATAATATTAAAATACGAAAATGTGTTTTCGAGTGAAATATAATGAATTGGAGAGCTTAGCACCGCAATTAAAATGAAGAATCATAAAATAACGGGTGCTATACATCATTTTAACTGTTATATTTATTTCGTTCGTTATGAAAACGATACTCGTTACGACGGTCTGTGTAATACGACGCGAAAATATTAAAAAGAAAACATGTACAACGTATGAGACGAGAAATCATCCCAATTAACAGAATCGGTCGTGTTTATTTATCACATTTATTGTGTTCCGTTCCGTGTTAATCGCTTTAATCAACAAACCATAAATGTACAATTCAACGAATTAAATATTATTTCTTGGATGTTCGGACACAATGTCGATAACATGAAATTATAAGTATACTATACATATATATACACACACGTATACATGGTATGCTTATTACGCGTAAGTATTCTAAGAAATATTTCAGCGTTGAAAATAGTAATACTGAATAACAAACAGTGTATACAAGTATTGCCGTAATTATCTATTTATAGGGTAAAATTATAAAATACATGTTATTTTAATATTTTATCTTTTTTTGTGCTGTAGTTTATTTGGAGTTAATATAGTTTCACTGCGTTTTAATTTATTTATATTTTATTTTCAACATTTTTAAACATCCGCTAGTGGCCCAAGACCGTAATTAGTTGCAATAATTTTGTACCAGATGGAATAGTCGTTGTTATTTAAGAACTAATCAGTTTTTGTCATTAAAACAAGAAATATTTAATTATTGTATTCGTTAATATTCGGGCTGTAGATTATTAGTAAAGGCCGGAATAATATTTTTTCAAAATATCAAAAATGAGATGTTAATATTTTTAAAAAAAGTTAAAATATTTTTAAAAAATCGTAAATAATAAAATGTGTATAAAGTAGGTACGCTTTTATATTAATATATTCCATTAATTAAAAATATGCGTTTGTATGTAAAAGAATAAAGTACGTATTACAAAAAAATTTAAAGCTATACGATAAATAATACGGCTTGAATAAAAACGTAGATTTATTTTTAATAACATTAATGTCGTATTTTTAATTAAGATAATGTTTGAAAACTGTTGACAACAATGTTTTGTTTGATACATTAAAATGTTTTATTTGTTTATCGAAAGAACGTTTTCGACGTCAACCGAAGTCTCACAGGAGCGAATCAGTTATCGTTGATAATTGTCTATGATTTGCACTTAATTGTTTTCATTCAAAACTTTTGTTAAGTTTTTCAAAATTCAATATCGCTACTATGGAACATTTATTGGAATTTCCGCCACTGCAACATGCAAAAAATACTGTTGCCGTTCATTTACACGTTTCGCGATTTGTAAAGATCTCGAACCGCCGTCGTAGAATCAAAAAAAAAAAAAAAAATACGCAAAAGGATATAACTTCCTGGCGTTCTATTATTAGTACTGATTAGTACACGTTTCGATAATACTCGAACACTGTTATTTATGTTACTTATTGTTCGGCCCGCGAGTACTCTGTCCTCCGTCATCGTGATGATCTTTTGGTGATTTTGGTGATTACTCGCACGTGTAAAAAAAAAAATACGATACTGCGATATGATTGACGGCAGCGGCGGCGGAAGAGTAACGTGTAATTCGTGTGCAAACAGCGCAAAGCCGCCGCGTGCCCTGTCCGACGAGAGAGCCGCGTGGGAGACGTGCGCCCCGGGCTGCTGTCATATCTTTCCGGCCGCCCCCGTTCGATACTAATAAGCCCGTCGGTTTTTATCAATAACAATAATAATAATAATAATAATAACGAAATGTAACGAGACTCCTCTTCCTTCCCTGGCACCGTTGGTCACGTGGCGACCGGGGGGAAAAAACGACAACATCGTGTTTCCCGAAACGATTTGTGTATTGTTTGGCCGCGCGTAATGTTATTGTAATTATTATTATCGTACGGCGTTATTGTTATTATATTACGTTACGTGCGCGCGCGTCGACGTGGTCCTTCGGCCGTGTACGTGTTGTGTAATTGTTGCACGCGCGCGGAGGGTGACGGACGACGCGCGATTTTTCCATTTCCTAAACTCTCCTGTCCGACGCGTGTGAGTGCTTCTCGTATCGTTCGCGATAACCGTGGCCTCGGATCCTCGACGAAGGATACGTAACGAAATTCCCGCGTTAGACTTGAACAACGGGCTTGCGATTGAAATTTAAATTGCTATTAATACCAGGGCTGTATTGGTACGTATACCCGTCTGCAGATTTTCGATTTTTGGCGTATACCTAATGTAAAATATTATTTCACGGGTATACGCTCCTTAAATAACTCGTAAACCAAATAAAACTTGCTTAATAGTTCATTAGAAAAAATTGTTATGAACTATGAAGTTTCAATGAAATATTTATATTTAGTACAGTTAACAGTTCAATTGCAGTTTTAATGTATTTTATGTTCAATTTAGTAGATAATATTTAGAAAAATAAATGTTATTAAATATAATATGTAGTATGGACACTTTCAGCTTATGGTTTATAAACCTGCACCAAGTAATTTATAACAAGCGGCAAATGTATATCTTGTGGTGTTCTATTTTATAGACTTATTTGAAATTATAAACATGTAAAGGGTTTATTTATTCGAACTTAGCGAGAAATAAAATTGTCCAGCGAAACGAGAACATTTTTTAAGGATTATTATACATATTTTATTAGTACGTATACCCATAAATATATTCACCGATACACCACTGATTAATACTGAACAATTCTGGTAGCGTTTTCTAATGACGTTTTTTTGATATTCAGTGGTAACGTAAATGGTGTTACTATGAACTATCCATAAAAATATTATACAAAAGCGGAAAAAATTACAATTTTCGTCACTTATTATATATATATATGTACATATACTTTTTAATGTACCATGTGATGTTTCAAATTTCTCATTGTATATAAGAAATTTTAAAGCCGCTTGGGAATCCGGATGGAATAATATAAACCGCCGTTGGAGTCTCCTCCGATTTTCGTCTGTGTATCAAACTAGGGGAAAATGTGTTATCGAGATTAAGACCTTGAATCAAACGTGTCATCGAATTTGACTTCCTACTCATAACTAAAAACCGCGCCTTATATACATAGAAAAACACACGAACTTTATTTACTCTGCGATATTTTTCATGTTAGCGATTTGAACCAAAATTCTGCAGTGCATAATACATATCAACGGTGGCGGACGACAATATTATTTTGCAATTTTGCAGAATATTATTCAACTCCTCAAATGCTGGTGTCATTTTACAAAATATGTCTCTCCAGCATTCCCTTCTTCCATTTCGGTCCGAGTAAGAATCTATTGTCTAATTGTCTCCATAATAACGGCATTCCTTTTATCGACATTATTAACATATAAATATCTAAAATATCTTCGTCGAGCATTTGAGAGTTTTCATTTGACAAATCCGTGTTAAAATTGATCGATTTGTTTACAGAAAAGCAAGTTACATAACAATGATTACGTTTTGAGTAAAAAATAACATTATATCGCGTGTTAATTACCGCAACATTATAACAGTTGTCATTCATATATTTCAATGCATACAAACGGCAAGTCCTTGTCGCATGATATTTTTAACGCGCGGTAAAGTCTTGGTGCACGCGAAAGTTTTCGAAATATCGCGCGTTAATTTTACGCCGCAACACTCGTCATTTTAATAATTTTAATGTACTTAAACAAAATGCGCCATAAAATTATGGCGCGGTGAAAATGTCTCACTGTAAAATATCGTCCGTGTTGCCGTCCTAAAGCAGTTTAGTGGTAAATACCGTTATATAAGTTTTACTTTTTTATCATAAAAATGTCACCCATATCAAAAATCATAGTGATATTAAAATTTAATCATCTATAATAAAATCATAAAACTAACTTTTTAAAAAAATAACTTAAATACAAAATAAATTAGTTGCATAACAGAATTAGTTTTAATTCAAACTTTCCGAGTGAACAACTTATTTTTTTTTTTACGGAAGTTGTGATTAAATAATGTTTATAATATATTTGATTGGCTGGGTAGTCTTCAAAATAATTTTTAAATTTTCCTAATACGTTTTTTACGTTCAATCACCTTGTTTAATCTTTTTTAAATATTTTCCATCTTATACATTTCTTTTTTATGCGTATATAAGAAACTATTTAATATTTTATAATCATATTATTTCATTTTCTACTATTTTTTAAGGGACAATTATTTTCTAATTTTGTAGCAACGGATAACGGGCAGCGATGACTACTAATAATTACTTATGTTATATAATATACATTAGGAGAATGTTGGAAAAAAAATTTAAAAAAATTTTTGAAACACTTATAGTATTCTTAGGCCCGGTTCAAATGTTGACTCACACCTAAGGAAATTAAAGTTTTGCCGCCCCTTATATGTAAATATTTCATCGAATATTTTTTTACATAAGCAATACTAAAATACACGGAAAAAAAATTAGTTATTTTGACTGTATATGATTAATTTAATCATAATTTGTAGTTATATATGTAACAGCTATAATTCTAGTTAAAATAAATAATTTTTTTAGTAAGATAATTATTGTTATTTCTACTATAAAATTGATTACTATTTATTAACTATAAATTATAGTTGATTTAATTATTGTATTAAGTTTTACAATGTTGTTAATCCAACTAAATGAATAGTTATCCTTATATAAAATTTATAGTTGTTAATAATTTTAACATTATTAAAAAATAACTAAATTAATTGTTGTTCTAACCATATTTTTAAAGTTGAAAATCTGACATAATAACATTGATTATAAATACTTAAAATCAATTTATAATCAATGATAATACTTAAGGTAGGGGTAAAAGGTAATAAGGTAGGTACATAAAATAATACTTAATAACAAAATATATTTAAAAATGTGTTGTTACAAAATTATAATTTATTAAATATTTACATACATAAAACAGTAATCAAAATATGTGTATAAAATATAATATAATAATAATTAAACATATTTTGAATATTTTTTTTCATTAAACATCTGCTTATAATTTTAATGGTATAAATGATAACCCATTAGAAATACTACAAAGATAAGTAGGGTAAATGTTTTTTTTAAATTAGTTAGGGAAATGCATATTAAATTTTGTGTAGACATTACATTAAAGGCTTGGAAATGTTTGTCAAAGTACTGTGTATTAAATTTTTTATTTAAATTTTTCAGTTGTAAATGAACGTCATCAATTATAATGAAATACTGCATAAAACTGTCTGCTTCTTTAATATTTCCAACAACAACAATATAGGGTTGTACAATTATATCCAAATTTAATGCTGAAGCTATCTTTTCTCTATAGGTAGTTTTCATTTCATTAACATTCTGAAATATAAAATAAAAATATTAATAATTAACCATTACTTATTAATTGTAATAAATTACCTGTAAGTTCACAATAAAAGCATGCAATTGTTCAATTTTTGATGGTCTAAGTATTTTTTTATTGTTAAAAACAACATTAACTGGTGATAATAAAAATGGAATTAGTTGGAATGCTGCCAAATCATCATCTCCTGCAAATTTTTTAATTTCAAATGAAATATTAGTCAATTTGTTACAACAAATCAGATACACTTGCCAGCCTTTAAAGTAGTTTCAAGTATTTTGGAAAGATCTACCCTTGTGAACCCACATTAATACAATTTTTACTGAGTTATATTTTAACTTGTTTTTGAATGTTTCAAATTTTTGAAAGAAGCACATTATTTTATCTGGATACAGAGGAGCAAAATCTATATCAACTTATAAAAATAGTATTACATTGTAATTTAAGTATTTAATACAATTTATTTTGGTTGGTAAGTACCAAACTTAAAAACTAACTAACTTATAAATAATAGGTATTAACAAGATAATGATCAGTGGGTTTTTTCAAAGCTAAATATATGTTCATTATATTGTCATTTTTTATGGAATTCTAGCCTATATTAAGAGGTTTCATTCCAAAGTTTATGAAGAACACTTTCAGGTTCGACTTTAATTTTTAACCAAGTAAAAGAATCCTTATAATCTTTCAAATAATATAATGTAAGCTGCAAGCTACCTTATCAATAAAACAGTGGCATAGCTAAGAAAAAATGGGAGACAGTAATATTAAATATGGTATTTAAACGCCTAGGTGATATTTTTTACCACCAATAAACAATCAACCATACACCATAGCCTCTCTTGGCTACTCCACTGCAATAAAATATTATAGTGTAAAAAGTATATACCTGAAAACTGTATTCAATTTAATTTTGAATAATTTTGAACAATTTTGAAAATAAAACTATTAAAAACTTGACTTAATTTAAATTAAACAAAATGATCTCAAGCGCGTATGCAAACTAAAATGTGATTAATTGGAACAAATAACAATCCATGTTGATAACTTCAAAATATGAACCAACATATTTTTATAGTTGATCCTACTATAAATAATAGTAACACCATCTTTGTAAACTATAATTTTTTATAATTTTAACTACATTTGATAGTTAAAAAATTCATCTATAATAATTTGTAAAACTAATCATTATTATAGGTAGTTTAACTATATTATTTATTTATAATGTTACTATATTATTATAGTTATTGAAACTACACTCGTTTTGTTATATTAACCAAAAATACAGTAAATATAACTGTATTTATTTTAACTTTAAAATAATAGTAATTTTTTTTTTCCGTGTAGATTTTATTCTGAAATAATTATATTTATTTATGTTAAGTTAAAAATTAATTAGATCAATACATTTGTTGTAGACAGGTAAACCACTACTAATAAAACAAAACCTATTTTTTGGCCATATTTTTTACTATGCATTACTTGATATGAGTAACTACTAGGAATTGTAGTGATTTTTAAAAATTATCTATAGTTTAAAAATATTAAATGCCGTCCTAGCCGTGGATCTATGTCGCCTACCCCTTGAGCTGGGTCTGAGTATTAAAGGTATAAATAATCTAATATTAAAATGTATTTGAATATATATCTGGATTATTATTTTTGTAAGTATCTGAGTATTTGTTATAGTAGCATTTTTGATGACATTTATCTAAATTTATACTATTATAACTTACACATTAAATTAATAATATCACATATTTTTTAAAAACAATTTGGTATAGAAGTATAAAATATATATGCTTTAATTATAACTATGATATAGGTATAGGTGGTGGTATGGACTGCGAAACCAGTAATTTGGTTGGTCAGAGCAGCGAAATCAGTGACAGTGGTTGCAGTAGTAGCTCCTCCATTTTCAATGAACTTGAGGTAGAGCATTTTTATCGAAAATTAAATTGTTAAATTTGTATAGACCGACAAATGCGATAAAATATTGTATAGAAATGTTTATTTGTCTTAGTTTGCGATGTCCACTTCGATCACAAAACCAGCTGCGACGTCACTACCACGATTGAGAGTACTATCGCTATTCGACGGAATCGGCACTGGTAAATGATAATAAAATGATAAAAATTGTTAACGTGAATTTATGACTAACCTAACCTAACATAATAGTTGTCGAAAGTTAATGAACCTTCGATGATTATTACTATTTAATTATTTAAATGTTAATTAATATACGCATAAAAGTTTTATTTTATCCTTTGCTAATTAAATACGTAAACCCCGCAAAACCGTAAAACAAATACAAATTGTTAATTTTGTTCATTTTTTGTCATCAATAGGAATGTATGCATTGTCCGAGTTAAAATTTGATATTGAAGTTTTTTACGCAAGCGAAATAGATGAAGATGCAATAAAGTTGACCAAACATCATTTCGGAGACCGTATAACGCACCTGGGATCGGTCACAGAAATTAACGAAGACGTATTGGATAAAATTGGACCTATCAATTTCCTTATTGGTGGTTCGCCGTGTTCAGATCTGTCCTGTGTCAATCCTCTTAGAAAAGGATTATACGGTAAAATATAATTAATAACCGCATGATGTAATTTGTATTTGGTGTATGAACATTGTAATATTTTTCAGATCCTACTGGAACCGGTATTTTATTTTTCGATTACTACAATATTTGGAATTATCTGAAGATTAAAAGTAATAAAGAAAAAACACCGTTTTATTGGATATTTGAAAATGTTTCGGGCATGGAAATAAAAAATAAAAATATTATTTCGAAGTAATAAAAAATCACATTCTATTAAAAAAATGTGTTGACTAATTTGTGTTGTTAAATTAGATTTTTAAACAGCGAACCATACGTCATTGATTCGCTACATTTGAGTCCTCAGCGACGTAAGCGATTTTTCTGGAACAATTTACCGGGCATTGATAATTTGGTTGATAAACTACTACATGAGACAAGAAAAAAGGAGCCTGTGTTAGACGATTATTTGACTAAAAATTTGGGTCGTACAGCTAACGTTGACAAAATTGGGACCATTACAACTAAAAGAAACTGTTTGAATGACGGTATTAACGAAAACTTAAATAGATAATAATAAAAAATAAATTGCATTTGCAATTGTTTTTTTGTATTGATATTTATCCAAAATGATATCTGTTTCAGGTAGTTCAAAAGATCCGGTGAGTCAAGATGGTATAAAAACTAAGTTATACATTACAGAACTTGAATTAATTTTTGGGTTTACTTCCCATTACACTGATGTCTGTGATTTTAATATAAGCAAGCGGCAAAAGTTATTAGGAAAAGCTTGGAGTGTTCCAGTTGTGAAAAATATTTTTCTTCTCTTACGTGACATATTTGCGATGAAGGATGATGGAATTGTTCAGTGATGATTTTTTTAAATTACTTTTAACATTCTTATTATTCAACAAAAGTTTTTACTTATTGCCATAACATTTTAAGATTTCTATTATTTGTAACAAAATGTATCTACAAACATAATGCTACGTATTTATTTATTTTTTATTTTGATACTTGTTACATTTATATATTCGTATATAATAATATATGAGATATTGAAATTTAAGATTTTGATACTTAAATTTATGATTTTATAACACTGATGTCTGTAATTTTACTGTAACCAAAAGATAGAAGTTATTAAGTAAAGCTTTGAGTTTTTTGGTTGTGATAAGTAATTTTTTGTTTCTACGTCACATTTGTGATGAATGATAATGAAATCGTTCAGTATTAAGATTTTTAATTATTTTTAATATTACAATTGTTCATTAAAAGTTTTTATATATTGTTATAACATTATAAGATTTATATTATTTATAAGTGAATTTATCTACAAAATTGTTACATTTATATATTTGTACATAGTATAAGAGACATTGAATTAATGATTTTGTTGCTTAAATATAAAATGTTATAACACTGATAACTGAAATTTTACTGTTAACAAAAGATAAAAGTTATTAAGTAAAGCTTTAGAATTTGTTTTTTAAATTACTTTTAATAGTTTAATTATTTACTAAAAGTTTTTATTTGTAATTGCTACATGATAAAATTTTAAATAATTTGTATTTATAATTATTTACTTATGTTACTCTTTATAAGTACTAATAATTTTTTTATAACACAAGTTACATTTTTTCATATGTAAATTAAAGAGATACGGATCAATGGTTTTGTAAAGTACCTATTTACATTATTTCATTTTCTTTATCCAGCCATGATAACTTTTGCAACTGGATAATACGTTAAGTGCATCATATAGTACTATGTTCTTTTTAACATGTTTGTGGAAACATTTAAATCTGTGTCTATAAAGCATTCCATTAGGTTATCCTAACCTTTAACAGTTCTCGAGGAGCTAAGTGAAATGCAGTGTTCTATACAATTTTGCAATATCAATGTAAATATAAGAATATAAGGATTTTCTAAACATCCTAAAGGCGAGAGTCATACGATAAGGTTGGATATTGTAATACTGATTATCTGGTAAAAGCACTTACTGAAATAAATGGTTATAGTTGATGGAAATCACTTTGGGAATTCAATGTTTAATAGAATAGAATGTTGATTTTGTGTGATGGTACATGTGAAAATGTGAGTACTTGCACAATTTTAAGACGATAATAATGTGTTGTATTTGAACAATAATTTAGATGGACTCTGTTGCTATACTAGTTTGGTTATTTTTTTCACCATTGTTTTCAGTCGAGTGAGTCATCCGTTTTTTATTTAGTTAGTGGTTAAAGCTACATTCAAAAAGTTAAAATAAGTTAAGTGAAATTAAACACTGTTGAACTATATCCGAAATACATTGATTTAAATAGAAAAAAATGAGATAATTCTTAATAGATTTAGAATTGGCCATACAAAATGCACATAAGGACACCTTATGGCAAAGACTGATCCACCCCTATGCCCAACTTGAGATGAATATCAAAGACTTCTACATAATCCCAGACATGTATGAAGCAATTGGTCCATTTTCTAACTATCAAAACATAATTTTATATCTAAAAAAAATTAAATTTTATAATAGTATGTAATAATGTAAAAATGTAATACTTTTGTTAAAGCTAATAACCTATATAGTCGATGCTTAATCAATAAAAAAAAAAGAATAAAAAAATGTAGTTTCACAGGTAAACGGAATGTTCAAAAACATGAATGTGAAGCTCTACAATCCGATATCCAATCAAATGTCAACATAATAAACTTCTTAAAGGAAATCAAATTATACAAACAAATTTAATTAAAAATGTTAAACTTAAAGAAAAAAAGAATGTAATTCAATGTTGTGTGCAGTCAATTCAACAGTTCATATGAGGATTTTAGGATAATTCCAATAAAAGTACTCTAACTAACTAAGTTAAACTGTTTTATTGAAATATTTCTAAGTACAAGTATTCAATTAAATTGACAATTAAACTGGCGTGAAGGTGCTTGCTAGAGTCGGACTAAAACACGTCTGAATATTGGTCTGTTCGGGACTATCTTATATACCCCGTTTCTCATAGTTGACCCGGACCTAGTGAATGCTAATCAACTGTCAACCTATGCTATTCACCTTGGCATTTTAGATTGTTGCTACTTGTATTTTGTGCGCCCAACCCTGGATTACCTATATAATCAGTTGACCTCGTAAATTCCACATTTTACATATATCATACTGATGCCTTTCTGTAATAGTTGTTCTAATATTTATTATGTGCTATGTGTCTTCTATACAATATAACTCGTAAGGACCTACATCTATGTATATTCGTAACATCAATAACTAATGGCCTAAGAGCTAATGTTTTACGTAAAAAAAAAAATTTTGTAATATGAATTGTAATTTAAAACATAGTAATATTTTATTGTTAACTATTGTTCTATGAACATGATAAGAAATTAAATAACGCTTTATCGATAACCAGCTGGTTTAAACGCTTTTATCTATAAAAACATGTTTTTTAATTTATTTCATATCATGGCAGTAGCGAACTCACAGGGAGGGGGGTCGTGGGGTTTGACCCCCCCCCCCATTGGTCGTATTTTTTTAAAATTATTCCAATAGTTTAATAATAATTGATTATTGATTTTATTGATTATAATTTAGTGGTTTATACGTCATTAGTAACCAGTATCACGGTTATCAAGTTGGATTGGAGCATGACCATAGAACATGTTCTATGACACGACCGCGCTATCAATTTAACAATTTGGTGACGATTTGTAATAATGTGGTTTTTTAAAACAGTACAAAATTTGTAATTATTATGACAATGTGGTTGTGTGTGGGGGGGGCAGAGCCCCCCACTTTTTTATTCTAGTAAATTATCAGAGCCCCCCCATTGAAAATTACTGAGAACGCCACTGTATCATGGTATAGGTACAATGGCTAATACACATTTTATAAAATGCAGAAAACAATAGTTGATAACTTATTGAAAAAAAAATACTGATATCATATTAAAGTTAATTTGCCGTTACTATTTTAAATAATTATAATTTGTGAGACAATATCCATATTTAAATTTAAATATCTCAAAACAATATAAAATCACGGCCGATGGGGGGGGGGGGCTATAGCCTCTTAAAGCCTCCCCTCCTAACTACACCACTGAATGAAATTAAATCATTAAAATAAATAAACTTTAATCAATAGAGGTCAGATTAATATTCTCTTTAAAGGTACGATTCCTTGGTATGCGTCTGTAGACGCGCGACTTACACGACCATTACCCTCCCCCCCTCCAGAAATGTGTGATTTTTTTCATGCTTATAATCAGTACGTAATTTTTATGAATTTATACGACTATTTTCAGAATTTGTACGGAGTTCGTTCACCGAGAAAAATTCGTTTTTGGCGGGAGAGGCTGGAATAACGTTATTCCAGCCACCCCCCACCAGTAAAAATAAACGTTTTACAAAAATTTATTTTGCGAATAATTAGAACGTAATTTGTATGATTATTTTCAGAATTTGTGCGGACCTCGTTCATCGAGAAAAATTCATTTTTCGCGGGAGGGGCTGGAATAACGTTATTCCAGCCACCCCCACCAGTAAAAATAAACGTTTTACAAAAATTTATTTTGCGAATAATTAGAACGTAATTTGTAAAACCATTTTACCACTTTTATTAATTAGCAAAGTGTTATATTAACAAAATAAAAAATATTTTCAGAATAATTCTGTATGCTTAAAATCTCTTACATCATTATATTCATAATTTTATTATTATTATTATTTATACAAAGGCATATTGCAAACACACTATTTCTATTTTAAACATATATTTGTTAAATAACAATGGCGTTGGATAAAAATAGTAATTATTTTTATTTTCTTAAGAAATATCCGATAGTATGTATTTTACTCGTATTTATAATATATTTGTATATTACATGGGTATAATATTATATAAACTAATTATATGAACCCTGTTCGTTAGCAATATTCGTCTGAGTGTTATTTGAAAAAATTTGACAAATGCCTTGTATGTACTCTTCTTGTAATCCTAAAGCTTTTTATACATTATAACGATCACTATGCACGAACAAATGTATTGCATATTTGCTAACACGGCCATTCAGATATATACTAATATCATTCCAAACATGATTTGATGCAACAACAATTTCAAGACATTTTAAAATTATATAGGTAAATCAAATAAACGGTATCAAATTAACAAGTCGACGATAATCGATCGCGCGTCTAGTGCGTTTTGACCGCCTATCAAGCGGTCGTCAGTCGCGCGATTAGAGACGCAACAGCCGCGCGGCGGTGTTGGGAATAGGTTTCATGGCAACGCGATGGCAACCGGATTCTGGGATCCTTGTACTAGAATCGGTTATTTTGTAAAAAAATGTGGCCTTGAAAATGTAATTATTTTAACTAACGATTTAAAAACGAATGCTTGAAACGAGGTATACTTTACAAGGGGCTTTCCCATGGTACCGACTAGGTTTTAAGTTGACATCGGTGCACTCAAAAAAATATACATGTTATTTCAATAAAAATATAGGTTGATTTAACAAAATATTTGTTAAGGGGCTGTAGACGATGCAAAAAATCACGTAAAACAGGTCATAAGCTAGATAAAACTGTGAGACTTGGGTTTGACGGATTTTAATTTTGAAAAAAAATTAAAAATCTTGAACATCTTTACTAAAACTTGTTCGAAAGCATTTTTATTATTACAAAAATTAATGGCGTATTTAAATACATGAAATACATAAATTTCTGTTTTTTTAAATTGTCAATATCTTATTATTTGATAACAATATAGAAAATTCCTTTGGTCAATCCCTAGCTAACATAGTGACTTAATTAAATCTGTTTTCAAAATTTAAATTCATCAATCCCAATTCTCCCAATTTTGTCTAGATTTTTGGCGTTTTTGACATTTTTTAGCGTGGTGTAAATTTTCTTCGTGTTCATTGACCTGTGCATGCGCGTATGGGCGTTAGAACATTTCTAAGAATTTTAGAACCAAGCTATAACATAAATATTAAATATTACC